GTTAGCCCTGGTGAGTTTAGCTAGGCAGTTAGAGCGTCAGTCTGTGGACCAACAAGTCCTGGGTTTGATTCCAGTCAAGGGCCTGTACCTCGGTTGCAGTTCAGTCACCGGCCCTGGTTGGGGTTGTCTGAGAGGCAACCAACTGATGCGTCTCTCCCAACGTTTCTCTCTCTCTCTCTTTCCCTCCCTCCCCTCCTTTCCCTCCCTCCCTCCCTTCCTCCCACCCTCTCACCCTCTCTCCCTTCCACTCTATCTGAAGATAAATGGAAAAATATCCTTGGGTGAGAATTTAAAAAAAAAAAAAAAATCTGTTAGTGCACTCACAGCAAAACTGTTAGTGCCCTTCTCTGTAAAACCCTTATCTATTCATTCAGAAATATTGATTAGTATATACTGTATTTAATTGCATTGCATGGCATGTGATATAGTAACTATTTCATATTTGGATCATTGGAAGCTTGCTCTCCTAAAATAGTTTAAATAACAGGAATTGTCTTTTCCATAGCATTTAATAGATATTTCCTATAAAACTGTTTGGTACCAATGCCTTTTAGATTTTAAAAACAAATTATACCAAAAGTATATGTAGTTTGCTAAGTATAGATCACTTAAAGAATCAAATAGTTTTATAAGATTTGTTAAGAAAAACACCAGGCCTTAGCCTTTCTCTGCTTTCCATTTTCTCTTCCCCACGGCTACCACTTTCAACACTTGGCCAATTTTGATATTTGTATACATATACTAAATTATATGCTTGGAGCTACTTAATTTTTTAGTTAGACTGTTGACTTTCCCTTGGTTAGAGAGAAGAATTTTTAAAATGAATTTGTTAATTTCTCTTTATAATTCTATTAGTTTGGTCTGTACATTTTAATGTACATTCCTCACCTCCATCCTCCCAGTATAGTTAGAATTTTCATTTGATTAGCAGGTGTCAAAGTACAGTACAAGGACCCATGGGGCCCCTGTTTTCAAGGGATCTGTGATCAAAACTATTTTCATAATAATACAAAGACTTATTTGCCTTTTTCACTCTCATTCTTCCATGAGTGAAGAGTGGAGTTTTCCAGAGGCTATGTGATGTATGATATTGCAACTGCCTGAGTGCACAAGTAAATGTGAGAATCCAGATGTTTTATGTTAATGCAAAAATGCGAAACAGTGCCACTCATTATTTTGAGGGGAAAATATATTTTTAATAAAAGTTGTGTACATTAACATGTAATTATTATTATAAAATAACATACATATTTTATAATTTTCTCAGTTTTTAATTTCCCAGAGCTTTTTAAATTTTACACTAGTTTCTTATCAAGCCCATAGAAGAGGAATCAGGGTTTCATAAATGCTAGTTGAAGATGTCTGCATTGCCTGCACATCTGTATTGTAATACCAGTTATTCTGGTCCTCTGCTGTTTTGGTTCTTTCTTTCACTTCTAGATGATCACCTCTTACCCAGTACAGCTATGCATTTCCAAAATCATCTGCACATTACATGCATGTAGAGGGAACATTGTAGTGGACTTTTGCTATTTACAGCTGCCCAGAATCGTTTGAACACCCCTTCCTTTACATTTGGATAGTCTGCAAATTGTGAGCTCACTTTCCCAAGGTAGAATCATAGTTACAGTACAGATATAAGAACTAGGTTCCGTCTACGGCCATACCACCCTGAATGCGCCCGATCTCATCTGATCTCAGAACTAGGTTCCCTTGGTCATACATACTTGAGAGGAGTTGGATACAGATGTGAGCAATATGGAACCATATTGAGCATTTAAAACTCTCCAATATGGTAGCCATTTAAATTAAATAAAATTAGAAGTTCAGTTCCTAGCTAAGGAAACTAAGGCACAGAAAAGCTAAGTAACCAGGCTAGGGTCACAGAACTAATAAAGCCAGAATCTGAGTCCAGGTCTGTCTGTGTCTGAATTCTGCCTACAATACTGAGGTCAAACTGTTTTTAGACCTTTAAAAATATAAAACGTGAATCTGTGATAATCTCAAAAACAAAAACAAAAAAACACATTTCAAGTACTCGTAGCCACATATGACTAGCAGACAGCATAGCAACAATGTTGATTTCCATAACTATAAAAAGCTCTATTGGACAGTGCTGGTCTAGAAGGTACAGTGGTAACTACTCTTCTGAGCAGCTAATCCAGAGCAAGATCTATGCAAAACTGCAGGTGATAGAGGTGGCAGTGGCAGTAATGAATTTTCTGGAATGGTTCCACAATGTGGTTGGGTGCTCTGGGGCATTCGAGTATAGCTCTCCCATCCTCCTAGAGATTTTGTGAGCTTCCCAACCTCCTGTAGTTATAAATCTCTTTCTCCTTAAATCAGTGGAGTGGACACTACTGTATTCACTAAGGACTCTGACTTATACTGAGGTGCTTTCTGACACTTAATATTGGAAAGGACAGTTAAATAATCCAGTTAACCAGTTTTATAGCTAAGATTAGCTTTGATCTGGTGGATTTGATTTCCATTGGTAAGCCAAATGATCATAAATGACTAAGTGATATTACAATGAAAGAATATTGCCATTAAGGAGAAATTAGTTTGGAGTACTGTATCTCTAAATGGATAATTGCACTCTGTTACTTAGAGAACAGGCATTTCTCTAGGTTTTGATCATCTCTGTCACCATGTTAGTTTCACAACTTCCAGAGCCCCATAAGAGAAAAAGCCTTGCGCTGGCCGGGTTGCTCAGTTGGTTGGAGTGTTGTCCCGTACACCAAGAGGTTGCAGGTTCTATTCCTGGTCAGGGCACATAGGTTGCGGCAACCATATAGGAGGCAACAGATTAATGTTTCTCATATTGATGTTTCTCTCTCCTTTCTTCTCTCTCTAAAACAATCAGTAAAAATATATCCTCTGGTGAGGATTAAAAAAAAAAAAGAGGAAAAGAAGCCTTAGCCTTTGTACTGCCCTGAAGGTGGCCTGACAATAAGGCATAGCAGGATATTCCAGTCATCCCTAAAGTGTTTTGAAAAGAGCTTGAGTTGATCTTCAGGGCTGTGTTAGGGCATCTAGTATAGGGCCGACAATCTTTAGGTGCACGGAAAGTTAAATGATTTACCTATCTTCCCGTATTATTTCATCCTCTGCCTTTGTTGGGGTCATGCTTAGCTACCTCAGGAGGCTCTTCTCAAAGGTCTCTAGGCCTTGGAAATTTCTGTAAAATGGTGCTTCTGGGACCACAATATCTTTGCTACTTATGCCTTTTCTATAGAAAGCGGAGATTGAACATTAGAGGTGGCATTCTAGTGAGTGACCTTTTGCAGAAAAGGGGTAGTTTCTTTTTACACTCAAGATGACTGACATTTCAAAAAATAAGAAGGCTGTTTTTGCTCAGATAATCATATTTCTGCTGCTTGTTGAAGAAGAAAGGCATTGAACAGAATATCATTATCCTTTTAAACTAGTATGCTGGGTTGAAATGCCATTTGGAAAGTTAGTCTTTCATGCTTCCCTCGTCTAGATCTTGTTCATCTCATTTTTCTCTTTCCCCATTTTTTTTATTGCAGTATAATTTATTAGTTATATTGAGATACAATATACATACCATATAATTCCTTGTTTTAATTGTACAATTCAAATATTTTTAGAAAATTATGAGTTGTTTGATCACCACCACAATCTAATTTTAGAACATCCCTCTCTTCCCCCCAAATTACCTCTTCCCATTTGCAGCCCTTCTGTGATCCCATCCCCATCCCCAGATAACTCTCTGTTTCTGTAGATTTACCTTTTCTGTCCCACAGGCACAGAGCTTCCATTGGATTATTTTTTTATTTAATAGATTTCCATCCAGTCCTCCTATCTTAGTATTACCTCTATTCCACTTCCCCTGGTACCTTGGCAACCAGTTCCTAAGCCTCTGGGTAGATGGGGAGCCTACATATAAGTCATGGTGTTTTATCCACTGCTCGTTTATGATTTAGCTTTCCGGGTATGCTAAGTCAGTTAGCAATCATTCATTTACCTGTTCACCAGCTTCCAAAATGCTATTGATATTTATTTCCCATTCCTTTTTTCCTTGTGGATTTTTACCTTTACTTATTTATTTAGTTAATTAACAAAAGTTTTTTCTTTATTGATTTTAGAGAGAGGAGGGTAGAGGGAATGAGAGATAGAAACATAGACGAGAGAGAACATTGATTGGCCACCTCCTGCATGCCCCCCACTGGGGATTGGGCCCACAACCTGGGCATGTGCCCTGATCAGGAATCGAACTGGTGACCTCTAGGTGCATGATGCTCAAGTGTGCAGTCTACTACCATCTATAACTAGAAGTCTTCCCCACTAATATTTATTTACCCTTTCCACTTATTTAAGGTTATTGAAAGACTCTGGAATTTATTCATTGTCCTTAGGGAATGCAGAACTCAAATTAACTTCTGTGGGGGTAGATATTCTATTATTCACATGTTGGTCTTTTTTTTTTTTTTTTATCCTCACCCGAGGACATTTTTCCATTTTTTGTTCAGGTAGAGTGGGAGGGAGAGAGAGGAATAGAGAGAGAGAGAGAGAAACATCGATGTGAAAGGAACACACCGAGTGGCTGCCACCCGCACAACCGACCAGGGCTGGGGACAAACTGCAACCAAGGTACGCGCCCTTAGCGGGAACCGAACCCGGGTCTCTCAGGACCGCAGGCCAACGCTCTAACCGCTGAGCCAAACCGGCCAGGGCACATGTTGGTCTTTTCTACTGGGCCCTAAGTGTTAAAAGTGGGTCATATGAAGAGTGAAGGGAGCCTGTAAACAACCAGTAGCTGATCCCATATGTGTGCATGTCTCCAGGGCTGTAGCTGAATCAGTATTTGCTCCTTGTTTGACAGGTTTTTAGTCTGTGTGCCCATTATCAAAAACATCATAAGTTTCTACAGATCCAAGCTTGGCCATCTACACCTCTCTTTTCATCACACCCTCTGTGCTCTGGCTTTGTTTTAAGCTTTTCTAATTCTTAACTCTTTCTCTGTTTTCCCATAGGATCATGGATTTTCCTGGACACTTTGAACAGATCTTCCAGCAACTGAACTACCAAAGACTTCATGGCCAGCTCTGTGATTGTGTCATTGTAGTGGGGAACAGACATTTTAAAGCCCACCGCTCCGTACTGGCAGCCTGCAGCACGCATTTTCGAGCCTTGTTCTCAGTGGCAGAGGGAGATCAGACTATGAACATGATCCAGCTAGATAGTGAGGTAGTGACAGCAGAGGCCTTTGCCGCACTGATTGACATGATGTATACCTCCACCCTCATGCTGGGGGAGAGCAATGTTATGGATGTTTTATTGGCAGCCTCTCACCTGCATTTGAACTCTGTTGTTAAGGCATGTAAACATTACTTAACGACGAGGACGCTGCCCATGTCTCCCCCCAGTGAGCGTGTACAGGAACAGAGCGCCCGCATGCAGCGCTTCTTTATGCTGCAGCAGCTGGGACTAAGCATCGTGAGCTCAGCCCTCAATTCCAACCAGAGTGGCGAGGAGCAACCGGCCCCCATGAGCTCATCCATGCGTAGTAACCTGGACCAGCGGACGCCTTTCCCCATGAGACGCCTTCATAAGCGCAAGCAGTCTGCAGAGGAAAGGGCCAGACAGCGCCTTCGACCTGCCATGGATGAGTCTGCCATTTCCAATGTTACACCGGAGAACGGGCCTTCAGGGGTTCATTCTCGAGAGGAATTCTTCTCACCAGATTCTCTGAAAATTGTGGATAACCCTAAGGCCGATGGAATGACTGACAACCAAGAAGACAATGCCATCATCTTTGACCAGTCTTTCGGTGCTCAAGAAGATGCCCAGGTGCCCAGCCAGTCTGACAATAGTACTGGCAACATGGCACAGTTGTCCATGGCTTCTCGTGCAACTCAGGTTGAGACTAGTTTTGAGCAGGAAGCTGCAACTGAAAAAAGTGGTTTTCAGTGTGAAAATCCTGAGGTTGGCCTTGGTGAGAAGGAACACATGAGAGTGGTGGTTAAATCTGAGCCCTTGAGCTCTCCTGAGCCTCAGGATGAAGTAAGCGATGTGACCTCACAAGCAGAAGGCAGCGAATCTGTTGAAGTGGAAGGAGTTACAGTCAGTGCTGAGAAAATAGACCTCAGCCCTGAAAGCAGTGATCGGAGTTTTTCAGATCCCCAGTCTAGCACTGACAGGGTAGGTGACATCCATATTTTGGAAGTCACAAATAACTTAGATCATAAGTCCACTTTTAGCATTTCAAATTTTCTTAACAAGAGTAGAGGAAGTAACTTTAGTGCAAATCAGACCAATGATGATAATATTCCAAACACCACTAGTGACTGCAGGCTAGAGTGTGAGGCCCCTTATTTGTTGAGTCCAGAGGCTGGGCCTGCGGGTGGGCCCTCCTCGGCAGCTGGCTCTCATGTGGAAAACCCATTCAATGAGCCTGCAGACTCCCACTTTGCTAGGCCTATGCAGGAAGCCATGGGCCTGCCATGTGTGCAGACTTCAGGCTATCAAGGAGAACAGTTTGGGATGGATTTTTCCAGGTCTGGTTTGGGCCTCCACTCCTCCTTCTCCAGGGTAATGATGGGTTCCTCAAGAGGAAAGGCCAGTAACTTTCCATACTACCGCCGTATAGCTCCCAAAATGCCAATTGTAACTTCTGTCAGGAGTTCACAGATCCCAGAAAACTCTGCCAGTTCCCAACTAATGATGAATGGGGCCACATCCTCATTTGAAAATGGGCATCCTTCCCAGCCTGGTCCTCCACAGTTGACCAGGGCATCTGCTGATGTCTTGTCCAAATGCAAGAAGGCCTTATCAGAGCACAACGTCTTGGTTGTTGAGGGAGCTCGCAAGTATGCCTGCAAAATCTGCTGCAAGACTTTTCTGACCTTGACAGATTGTAAGAAGCACATCCGTGTTCATACAGGTGAAAAACCCTACGCCTGCCTGAAGTGCGGCAAGAGGTTCAGTCAGTCCAGCCACCTGTACAAACATTCTAAGACTACCTGCCTGCGCTGGCAGAGCAGCAGTCTTCCCAGCACTTTGCTCTAACCCTGACCTCTTGAGATAATGCTGATGCCAGTTGTAAGACAGAAACTAAAATCTCTTGGCTGAAGGCTAATGTCCTTGGGTTTGAGGCTTCAGGCAGCCTGATGGCTCTTGCAAATTTTTGATGACTCAGTGGAGAACTAGTATGTGTAGCACTAGTCCTGCTGCATATCTGAGTGAAATGCACGCTTGCAGAGAGGGATGCGGTCCCCTAACCATGTTCTTCCTTAGGGCTGAGTAATGCAGTCAGAAAGTAGTTTATAATTGATGTTAAAAGTGGCACATGTAAAAATTAAAAATTGAAGTGCAAAAAAATTTTTTTAGCAATTTTTGTAAAACTCTGTGAAGCATTTAATTAAATTTCCTATACCCTCTGATGGGAATATTATATACCTGTATAGTGATGCAAAGCTCACTTATGTGTAACCAGTGGCAACTTTGTGCCCATCTAAAAGGCCCTTGAGGACGACACGCTTGTCGGTCACAAATGCTTTAAAACCTGTCATGAGCTAGTCCTAGGCCTCAGAAAGTACTGTATTTTTTATTTGTCTGATTTGCAGTCACAGACACTGCACTTTGATGGTGCTGACACTGGGTCCAGAGTGAGCATTCTCTGGGCTGTTAGGTGTATATACTTTTGAAAACATCACTGTTGGATAGATGTTTTATCAATTTTTCCTGGTTTTAAAAACAAGGTTGTAAATGGAGTATGTACTTGGTAGGGAGTGACAAGTAAGGTACTGTTTCTGTGTGTGCTGTTTTAGCAGTATTTTAACCAACATGTATACATATGTTACAGTTCCATGTTTGGAAGTCAGAAAAGAGCTAGTATTTGTCTTTGTTCTGATGATGTGGAGTCCTGTTTTGTGGGATCTTTCATAGCGCATTTATCCTTTGCTCCATCGAGACTTCGGGGCCAGTCCAACCTGACACATCTCACCCAGTGACACGCACACCTGTCTCTGCTTCGCTTCATCACACTCGCACACCCTATATTGCTTCACTCCCAGGCCTAGACTGCTGTTTTCAATTACAAACTAACCAAAAACCTTGGGTTTTATTACTGTTATATACTATAGTTTTAAAGTGTAGAATGTGAACTTTTGTTGTTGCCCCAGTCCAACACTGCATGTTTGAAATCCAAACGTAGCAGTGTTTACGGATATTTTCCAGACTTTCTAAGAGTGTTGGGTAGCCCAGAACATAGAAGTCACCAAGTAGCATCTGAGACTGTTGGAAGAGACATTTGCGTCACTGTCCAGGGCCTCTTTGGGGCCCACTGCCTCACTTTCCCAGCCATCTAGTGGTCTTCAAACCCTGTGCTATCAGGGCTGTTGGTGGCACATGTGTCAGGCTGAGCCCTGGCTTACGTGCTTCCAGGAAAATAGCACAAGTTAACGTGTCTCTGTGGAGCTCATGAAGTCAGTTTAATTCATGCATGAACATTAGTTCATTTTTTATACAGCTTTTTTAGACACCAACCATTGTGCATAATTGAGAGAAATCTTTCAGTTCTTGTGTTTAGAAAGCTAAGTATGTGTAGCTAAAACAACAGTCAGTGTGTGTTTTCCTCTTAATCTAGTGTGTGCAGTTACATGCCTGTCTGTGGATAAACTCATAATGTTCATAGTTGGGCTTAGCATCTCCTGTGAACAGATTCCCAGGGAGGAAAGGAAAACTCTGAGATTCCTCTCCTTTCCAGCAGATGTGGGAAAGCGACCACTGGAGGACATGGGGTCACCTGTGAAATTTAGTTGTGTGTGTGACTAATTATTAGCAGTTGTGTTCTAACTTGATGTGAGGAGGTTCTACATCACCCCTCTACACAATGTGGTGACCAGTGTCTTATGAGATTAAACTTGGGAAGCAGGTGGGTCAGCATGGACAAGAGGCCCTGCCTGGGCCCGAGGAGAAGAACCAGTGACACTGGGAAGAGCTATGGCAGCCCTCCTTCCTTTCCATCTTGAGGAGGTGATGCCAGGAGGCTGCCCCCTCACCTCATCTCAGGCTTAAGTGGACTTTGTTTGGGGGCCTATTTCCAGTACAGTGGCTGGAGCCCTGCCTTTCCTCTGCTGGATGGAATCTGGAATTGCTCATCTACCTCTTAGTCAATCAGTTTCTATGTGAGAGAAGCAAGCTTGCAGGCCAGTGCCCTCATACAAGCTGTAGCGCTTAAAAGATAATTCAGAGGTTCCCTGGAAAACCAGTCCCAGGGGTCCGAAGATCCGTAGTTTGTACCTGAATTATAACTGGTATTGGGTACCTGGATTTTGATTGGTTAGCCTTAATTATAGCCTGGCATAATAATTTCTGGTGATCAAATAATGAAGTTCTATCAGGGCACCCATGTTGGTGCTATGCTGGTCAAAATTTGAGATTTTGAAATAAAAAATTTGTCACATTCATGCTTCTAACTAAATATGTGTTCTTTTTATACGCTTAGGTTATTAAGATTAAAGCAAAAAAGCGGAAGTAGTATTGCTTTCTCTGCTAACGCTGCTTTGACCAAGGCAGCTTTTTTTTTAAACCATGTCTTCTAGAAAATACTCTAATGCTTTCAATAACAATTATTGATTATTCCCCTCAATTTAGTCCCTTCTGCCTTACCTGCACTCTTTTTGCCTTTGAGCCATTAGCATTTGTGAGGTTTTGTTCTCAGCCCACCCGGTTTTATTTCTTAATCTTATGCTTTCTGCTGCTCCCTTACCTGCCTGCCAGACTGAAAACTCCATTTGCCAGTTTGGCTTGGCTGCACGGAAGAGCTGGAAACTACTACTCCAGCAGGACTAGGATTTTGGCAGTGCTGGTGGCCTGGCCTTGGGGAGCAGTGAGGTGGTGATTTAAAAAAGGGCATCTGGCCCTGGCCAGTTTGGCTCAGCGGTTAGAGCGTCGGCCTGCGGTCCGGAGAGACCCGGGTTCGGTTCCCGCTAAGGGCACGTACTTCGGTTGCAGTTTGTCCCCGGCCCTGGTTGGTCGTGCGGGTGGCAGCCACTCGATGTGTCCCTTCACGTCGATGTTTCTCACTCTCTCTCCCTTCCTCTCTCTCCCTCCCATTCTATCTGTACAAAAAATGGAAAAATATCCTCGGGTGAGGAAAAAAAAAGAAAAAAAAAGGGCATCTGCCCTGGCCACTTTGGTTCAGTGGTTAGAGCATCGGCCCGGAGACCAAAGGGTCACAGGGTCACAGGTTTGATTCCTAGTCAAGGGCACGTGCCTGGGTTGCAGGTGTGATCCCCACCCCGGTCAGGATCTTGCAGGAGGCAACCAACTGATGTGTCTCACATTCACACACACACACACACACCCCCCACACCCCCACCCACTCTAAAAATCAATGGAAAAATACCCTCAGGTGAGGATTAACAATAAATAAATAAATGAAAAAGGGCATCCACCTGGCAGATGAGGACGAGATAGACAAAGGGAGGCAAAGTATGATGGTGCTGAAACTAATTTAAAAATAAAAATTAACCTACTTCCAATTATTCCCTGGTTCTCTTTGCCGAGTATGTTTAATTTGCCCCAAGAGTCTAGGTAGTAGAGTCAAGTGCCATGGTCACCAGTGGGCTATGGCTGTCCCGTTCTCAGTGACAGACACTTGAAGGACTCGGTGCAGAGGATGAGAGGGGTAGGGTGGTTTGGACAGGTTCTAATAATTAAAATGCCTGGGTAAGGACAGAGGTGGGAAGCTGAACTTGCAGGTCACTAGATGCCCTGACTTAGGGAAGGTAAAGCAGATGCTCTTGTCATTAGCTCCCCCCAGTTACAGGCCAACATGGTCTCAGAGAATTCTTTAATACAATTACACATTTTTAGCACAGATGTTTCCAACCACAAAAGTAGCAAGTACATCTACCGGTCAGACTTCTTGGCTCCGGTCCTGTGGGTCCGAATCAAGCCTGGCGCATCTGACAGTGGCTGGGCACTGACTGCCTGGCCCTCCGTGTCTCCTGTCTGGCTACAGCTTGAGTTCACTGGGCATTGGCTGCCCTCTCAAGCCAGCCAGCAAGTTGTTGGCTGCCAACAAGGACATGGTGTTTCGGGTCCCATGAGTGGCACTGCCAATGTGAGGCAGGATCACTGGAAAGGAGAGGAAGAGAAGGAGGTAAGAAGAGGGGTCAAGAGCCTTAAAGTGGGCCCTTTCATGGCCATGGCTTGCCAGTGAGAAGAATGAAGAGTCTGCCTCGATATTCCTTGATTTGCCTTCCCTCCTGTCACTCAGCATTCCAGTTCCCTGAGGCTGAGGGTCATAGTAAGAGTAAAGGGAACCCAGGTTACTGACACCCAGACGCAAGGATGACAAGGGATAAGTATCCTAAATACAAGAATACTGGCTTAAAAGGGGACTTGGAGCTTACCTACAACCCAGCCCTTCAGCTACCAGCTAGTCACTGGTGCCAATCTAACTGCTCATCCATACCCTGTGCCCCTGAAAGTGGTGCCGAAGGTCTACAGAAATAATGATAAAACGCTGGACAGACGGCACAACAGAGCGAGTGAGTTCGATTATTCCCAAAGAGTGCCTTTTGAAGGGCACTGAGCTGACTCCTGGGCCTTGGGGGGATGGGGACAGTTTTCCCGGCTGTGGACACAGGCCTGCCAGCACAGCGAGTGTTCCTTTCCAGCTGGCATGGGGGTGGGGACAGTAGTTTCCAAGGGCTACAATAATGGGGGCATTCATTGTGGGGAAGGCAGCGAAGGACCTTTTCTTTGGGTTTCCATCCAGAACATAAACAAAGCACAGAGACCAGCCCAGACAACCTGAGCCCTTACCATTCACAGTTACATATTGGTGTGGAGACAGAAACCACACCAGCTACCTGAACAGAGAGAATATAAAGAACCGTTAACTAGGTATAAAGTTGTTAACTCGGTAATAGGAAGCCAAACAGAACATGAAGGCAGTAGTTCTCAAAGTGTGGTCCAGGCCCAGCAGCATTGGTGGGGGAGCAAGTTAGACCCATTGAAGCAGAAACCCTTGGGAGCCCAGCACCCTGTGTTTGATCAGTCCTTCCAGGTGACTGAGGAACCTAACGGCTTAAGAATCACTGTCCTTAGGTACCTCAGAAGAAGCACGTGCTTCCCTAGCACTAGGGGAAGGTGGGGTTAACACGGAGAAGACTGAGGGAAGGGCCCCTGTGGAGCCACAACTCGGACCTCTGCAGCCGGTGCACTGACTGGCTGTGGCTTGTCTGAGGGGCACAATGGTTAACCAAGTGTTGGGAAAACTGCGAACCAAATTCCCTGGCCACTACGGGAGGAACAGCTGCTGCTGGTGAAGAAGTGTTGCTGCATGCTGCTCACAGATGGGAAGGCATGAGGGAGCCAAGTACTGCTGCCTCCAGCCTGCTGCCTGCCTGGCACCCACAGACGGGGCCCGATGGAAACGAGAGAACCAGCCCTTAACCACAGGGCAGAAGACCCAGGGATACATTTGGAGCCAAGAGACAACGGCTTAATTACTGGCACAGGTTACAGATACCGGTATTAAAATTTCACCTGTGACTTATACTTGAACTGATAACAGCAATTTATAGTAATGGGTTTTACTCATGACTAGCTATGGATGAGACACCCAGTCTGCAACCCACTCTTTCTAAACAAATCCACTCACCCCTACCTCCATTCACTCCTTTAGGGACACAGACCCAGGTGAGCACGCTCGGGAGGCCCCTCCCCTGTGTTGTTATGTACCAGTGCCACTAACAGCAAAACATTTATGGTCCCTGGGTGTCCCTTTGTGCTCGGTACTGCTCAGGTAGCTTCACACACAGCGGCTCCAGACCACCTCTAACCACTGTGGTCCTATGAGGCAGCTGATGACTGCTTTGGAAAATGCAATTCTTACCACAGTTCTTCAGGGTCAGCAGAGGGTGGTTCTTAGGCAGTGGTTCAGGGGTCGTCACATCCAGTCCAGCAGCTGCAATCTGACCGCTGGCCAAGGCCTGGTACAGGTCGTCCTGGTTTACCACGTCTCCCCTGGGAATGACAGCGCTGGTGTGGGTGCCCTGAAGCTCCGGCACTGAGGCTGCCTTTAGGGCGGAACAACACACTGAATGCGTCTCCCACGGACCTGGTTCTGACTTCCGGAGCAGTCAGTCTTACAGTCCTTACGTATGGTATGTCTGTATAGTAACAAAGGTCTTACCAACAGAGAACTCCAGCTCGGCCAATTTCTAGCTATGTGACCTCAGGCAAGTGTCTCAAATGATCTGTGTCTCAGGTTCATACTCTGTAATATAGGGGGAACCTAACTCCCAGGGGCGCTGGGAGGATTACAGCTTACTGACATGCACTATTGAATGAACAAGGTCCCTTCCAGGTGTTTCTGATCTGGTTGCACCCCACTAAGAACCCCTGCAGCCTGCCATCAGTCACCTGCCTAACCAAGGGCTGAGACGTGATCCACCTAACCACATCCATCCGAGTTCGCTGCCTTCCTTCTTGTGCCTGAACCATGGAAGGAACGAACTAATGTGCTAGAGACTTCATACTGCGCACTAAATACTTGAGCGACAATAAGGAACCGCAGCCTGCACAGCCCTGGGTCAGTGTGAGTGCTCAGTAAATGGGAGCTGACACTGTCAGCCATCAGTGTGAGCCCTGTGTTTACTCCACCTCCAGGCCATCTCCTTTGGAATTAAACATTAATAATGACAGGCACCTGGAGAGCCCTGCTGGGGGATGGGGGGCAGTGACCTCACCCAACCCCTTCCCTCACCTTTGTTTGCCTCCAGACTGATTAAAGCAGGTTCAAAGGGCACCGACTAGGAGGGGTTTGGAGAGGCAGGGAGGAAAGGTCTGCCCCTATCACATGCACAGTGGCCTAAAGGCACCTTGGGGACATTTTGAGGAACCAAGACAACTTGAGTTTTGGGTCTGCCTTCCCAGAAGCATGAAAGTTCAAGCTGTCACTGACGCACACTGACAGACCAGGCTCAGTGCAATGGAAGGGGGGCCTCTGAAGGGCTATACAGTTAAGTCCAACTCTGTGGTACAGAAGAACAGGGGCGGCCCGAGGATACCCGGGAGCTCGATGCCATGTCTTCACTCCTTGAACCAACGCTATGATGTGCCTGGCCCTGAGCAAGGCTGGGCACTGCTGGGAACCAGACAGTCCAGGCCCTACGCTCCGGGGTCTCCCTCCCAGCTGGGGCACTCGCTCACGGCCTGTACTTTCTTTGAGTCGGCTGGCTGGGTGGTTACTGAGAGTGGCAAGCTCAGCCTGACGTCTCTTCAGCAACCCACAGGGAAGAAAAACCTCAGCTTACAGCAACAGGACAGCCCCTCTCTAGGCTTGCCCAGTGACCCAGGGATGACTGGTGGCCCCAGGATACCTGCTAATGTTGACAAGCACAGCTGTTTTCTTCATCTGCTGGAAGAAGTCCTTGTTGCAGAGCCCCTTGGTCGCAGGCGTTAAGGAGCAGGCCACCACGATGAAATCAGACTCAGCGGCCAGCTGCGAGGTGGACACTGGGGGAGGGGAGGGCTCCATCAGATGCTGAGCTCCAGGTTACCGACAGCAAGAGGTCAGGAGAGCAAGTCCTTCCCTCCTCCTCCCACTCATACAAACTCCCAAGATGCTTCCTGAAGGCCTCATTTCTAATACACCACGTTCTGGGAGCGTGGTGCATTACACCATTCATCCAGCCCCTGGTCTAACAGATGGGGAAATTAAGGCCAGAGAAGGGCAGGAGCTGGTTCAAGGTCACACTAGAGGGATCTGGGCCACTCTGGCTTTCACGGACTGCAGGGCCCTGTGTGCCAAAGGGTGCGGAACGGCTGGAATCCAATCTGCTCTCCACACACCAAGCTGTGCACCCTGCCGGGGGGCTGGATCCACCTGGGCACAGGCTGGGGCAAGTAATACTCAGCAGTTTAAGGAAACTGAGTGAAAGTTCCCAACAGTTCCTTAGCTCTGTCATCATCCCTGCTGCTCTGCCCATGCTATGTGCAATGGTGACAAGGGACTCTGAAGGGCAGACCTGGACAGCCCTGTGGCACTGAGAGAGCCACTGCGGGCCTGGATAAGTCTGTGCTCCCTGAGGGGCCTGTGTCCAGAGGCAGGTACATTAAATCACACCTGAGGGACACTGCAGCCCTGACATGCCTGGGTTTCCTGCCTTCTGCCTGCCGATGCTGCAGTCACGGAAAAGAGGGAAAACCCTCTCACCGAGCACAGACGGGGCTCTGTGAAAATCAGGGTTTTACTCACCAAACTCTGCCTGGAATTCTGCTGCTTCCTGAGGCCTGGGCTGGCGCCCTGTGTACAGAAATCTCTGGACACCGAACGGTTTCAGCCGGCGAGCAATGGCCTGGCCTAAAGAGAAGGAGTCAGGCATGGCTTGCTCTCAAACCCCAGAGGGCAGGGGCAGCACCAGCATCTGGGACAGGGAGCCCCGGGGGCAGATCCTTTTATCAGCACAGCTCCTGCCTCCCACACTGCCCTAGGGGTCCATGGGACAGCCCTTCAGAGAGCTGCAGGGACTACAGCTCCTCTGTGACTTACGCTGTCCTCACATGGTCCCAGCCATCTGGAGGTCCATTTGCTAACCTTCCTGAGAGCTGACCTGGCATCCCAGGAGAGGTCTGACCAAACAGTCCCCTTCCTCCTTCTGAACCCTCTGCTTCTGTTGATGAAGCCCAACCTCAGCTGACTTCTGGTGCCACTGCCAACCTGCCTCACATCTGTAAGACCTTTCCACAGGTGCTGCTCCTCAGGCAGGCTGGGCCGTGGGTTTTCAGACTCAGCACGTGCCCCAAAGCCAGTGAGTTTCTCCAAGCAACTCTCTAGTGTACGAGGCAGGGCTGCCAGCCGGCCAAATTATCCACACTTTCCATCCTCTCTCATCTGCAACAAGCAGGATGCCAGAAAGCCACAGACAGCTGCCTGGCCGAGCCTTTCTGCCAGGCTTCTCCAAGTGGGGGCCAATGGAAGAAAAACAGCTCTGTCCATCTGCAGAATCACAGGTGAGCTCTGCCCACAGGACCCGCTGGTTCCTGAGTTAAGGCTTTGTAAGTCAAATGCCTCCCAGAACCCAGGCTTTGGGGAGCAAGGACTCCCCCACAGTAAACCCCTCCTGTGGGCCCCCACCCAGCCAGCACCCCTTCCGTCTGCTCTGCATGGAGCTCAGTCATGAAGAACCCTGCTTCCATCACCCAGTGCACCGGTGGGGAACGTCCAGCCCGTGAAATCTACCAGCTAGCATCACACGCCTCACCAAATGAGCCTGACCAGATAGAGCAGGCTGTTCTTTAAGTTGATAATGTCGTATGGTCCATGAGTGATGTTATAAATATCCAAATGGCCCTTGACAGAAAAAAGGTTCCCACCCCTGACATAGTTCTTCAGGAACTCCTGTGCTTTTCTTTTTGCCTGAATGTTATGAGGCTGTGTCTTCTCATTAGAGAGATCCCCAGGGCATGCAAAGTGTACTGACATCCTGCAGGTATGGCAACCCTTTCCAAAGAAGGAATGTCAGTTTCCAGGCATGTGGTGCCAGAGACTCGAACCAAACCATGTGAGCCAGGTGGGCAAGAGGGCAGGTCAGGGCCTCACCTATGCGCCCCAGCCCGATGATACCCACGGTGCTCTTCGTGAGGCCGTAGCCACACATCCACAGGGGCTTCCAGGAGGTCCAGCCGCCACTGCAGGGGGAGAGGGGGAGAGTGAGAGGCCCTGGCCTCGGGCAGAGACGAAGGCCATGGCGAACTCACAGACCCAGCACCCCTGGGCAGGGGCTATGTTCCAAGGGATAGGCCCTGCCCTCCAGGGCAAAGGACTGAGAGTGGCATGAGCCACCCCCACAGCCGCTCAGCACTGTGGACAAGCAGCAGGGATGACTCCCCCAAGGGCTCGGAAGGGCCTTGAAAGTTCTCATCCCATTTAACAGATGGAGAAATTAAAACCAGAAAGGGTGACCTGCCTGAGGTCACACAGTCAGGGCAGAGTTGGGAGCAGCAGGTTGCAGCTCAGGATCCGGGATTACAAAACCAGTATTCTCAGTGCCCCAGGGAACCAACAACACATAAAGCCACAGGCCCACCCCGCTGCCCTGGATGGACAGGGGAACGGAGCCTGTCTTGAGTTAGTCACCTCCATTGAAAGTATAGACTCCCTAGATAGAAGGGTGGGTGGGATTTTCATCACTGTCTAATCAGCCCCAGGATACCGTCCAGCTCTGCCCTCGTCACATCTCTGCCCAGAGCCGCGCTCCTGGTCCACGTCCTCTGAGGGCCTGCATTGGCTTGGGCTACTCCCTGCACCTGTAATGCCCTCCCCAACTCTGGGGATACAGACCCAGATCCCTGGTCTGAAACCCTCAGGGGAGATTTCAGAATTTTTCAGATTTCAGAAAGGTAGTCTGGTGCACATGCTATATTCTACATAACACCCTCAGCAGCGTGCAGGGCGGCACACTGTATCCAACCCCTGGTGTATCTGTAGTAACACGAATGTTCACACTGACTGGGAGAAATTAAACTATAAGAAGCCCGGTGTTAGTTCCAGTCAAATTTTGCTGCCAAACAATTTATGAAACAAACATCAGTTTTCAGAGCTTTTGTATTTTGCACTGGGAGTGAGGAATGGTGGGCCTGCTCTCTGAGCACTCGGAGGACGGCCCCTGCTACTTCTGCCACGAAGCTTTCCCTGGTCCACGCGCCTCCCCCACCTCACCTCCCCTATCCTCTTGCCTCACGATGTGCCTTCATGCCCGTTTATTTCAGCTCTGCCCTGCACTTTAGTATTTTGGCTTAGTCTATCCCCCCTCACTAGATGGACAGGGATCACATCTGGGCCAGGGTGACATTGGGTGCTCAGGAGTCAGCTGCTAAGCAGAACTAACTTTTCCACCAAGTGTTCACTCACTTCTTCACTTCCTCAATGGCCTCCGGGAGCCGGCGACAGGTGGTGAGCAGCAGGGAGACAGCAAGTTCCGCAGTGGCGTCTGTCAGAACATCTGGGGTGTAGCCCACACGGATTCCGCTACAAATCAAACATCTGGTGGTAACACTGGCCTCAAGCACCTTCACCAATTTCTATGACTGAGACATTTCCTTGATGCTGCTTTGTTCCCTCTTTGAACTGCCCATCCGGAAGCTCAGAGCTGTAAATGAGCACTCAGGAATGGTCAGCGCTTATTCCATTTCGATTATCCCCTACTTTGGGAAGGACATGAAGATGGGAGATCAGGGTCCAAAGTCTGGGAACAAGTTACTACTTAACCTATTCCGCATCTAAAGAGAGAAATAATAATACTTGCCTTTCTATTTCAAGGGGTTATTGTGGGGCAGGGGGGTGTCAAAAAAGATAATGACTTAAGGTGTACAGCGTAATAGTTTGATATGTATATTGTAAAATGAAGATCACAATAAGTTTGGCTAATCCATCTTCTCATATAGATACAACAAACAGAAAGAAAAAAAAAATTTTTCTCCTTGTTAAAAAAAAAAAAAAAAAAAGATAATGACTATGAAAGGGTGCTACTTGGCCACATATTTCCCTCTTGTTTCTAACCTCTTAGGCTTATTTTAACTGACTTGTGAACATATAAACAGATTTTATCATCAGCTACTTCCCTTTCTCGCTGAATGGTTAGGAATATGAAATAAAAGCAGATAAAGACCCAGCTCTTGTTCCTACATCTGCTAGTCACCCCTCACACTCCAGAACCCAAGCTACAATTACCGCTTCTTGATTTCATCCAAAGCCAAGTGGTCGACGCCCACAGACAGTGTGCTGATGACTTTGAGATTGGCTCCTGTTGTACAGAAAAAGCATTGTTTTTATTTTTCTCCCAGGATTCAAACCCTCCCACATGTTCTAGATGGGTCCCGAGGGGGGCAGGTCCTCGCTGGAGGTCATAGAGCAAGGCTGTGGCGGGGTTGGACAAGGGCCCCGGGCCTTGGAATGCTGTCCCCCACACCCTGCTACCTCCACAAATGGTCTTTTCCCTCCTAAGGTCTCCCTCCTGGGGTTCACAGGCAGGAGAGAGGCAATGCGTGTTCCAGATGGAACCGCACACAACTGCTCCTCTGGCCGACTACTGCCAGTGCCTCAGGACCCAGAGAGGCCACTGCACACCTGCTTGGGGAACCAGCAGCAGCAGGTTGATGTGCCCCACACCCCTGGAATCCTCCCCAGACCTGCCCAGTACACACACCTGCGGTATCCAGGAGCCTTTTGTCCACACGTTCAGTGAGGAGGCAAAGCAGGCCGTGCGCCCCAGCCACGCCTCGCTCCAGCTCCTTGCTGGGGATGGGCTCGTCTGAATCCCACTCCTCCACCTCACAGCTGGAGGCAAAGGAAACACCACTCAGAAACAGGGGAGCCCTGCAGATGCTCCCAGGCTCCCAAAGTCCCCCCAGCATATCTGCAGCCCCCCTCTCAGGGTAGAAACATTGCCTTCTGCTTGCTCTGGCCTCAGACAGCCTGAAACTGGCTGAGGGGAGTCAGGGTCATGTATGGGCAATTTCAGAATTGTTCTGAGACAGTGGCTGAAGGTAAAAAGCTGTCACAGAGCAGAGAAGAGCCTAACCTGAAAGGAGAGTCTTGGGGACAGCTCTCAGCTCCACACAAGGAAGTTTTTTCACCTTCAGAGGTAGTGAGATCCCTGGTCCCAGGTGGCCAATTGTTGGCAAGGCCAGTGGGAGCAAGGGTTGGGTGGAGATTCCTGCATCAAATGGGATTGGATTCCATGTCCAAGTGCCTGTCCTGTCCTGTGAGTCCATGAAATGGAAAACTCATACTTGGACTTTGCCAGAAAGGACATGACCAAAGCAATGCAACATGGAGGGATGGTTTGGGCTCTGGCACGTTTCCCAAGGGTGCTGCCCAGTCTCCCAGCCCTGGCCATTCAATTCACTGCAGCCAACACATATGGAGCATCTACAAGTGCCTGACACTGGACAGCTGCTGGCACCTCCCAGAACACCCTGCTGTAGCACCTGGCACAGACACCTTTCATCCCCCTGAGTGTGGTGCCATGCTACAGCAGTGTGAGCCACCCCTGCTGCCATTGTTTCTGCCTTTCCTTTCTCCCCCTCAGTGCTGGGTACATGACAGGTCCTCAGCAAAGCTTTTGTTGCACTGAACAAAATGAACAAATCTCATTTTCCCCTGGCACTGGTTTCTGAGGCTGCGTACCACCTTCTCCTGTCTGACGTAGGCAGTGCAGACCTGGATAATGCATTGTTCAGACTGCAGTCAGAGCTGAATTCAAATCCCAGCCCTGCCACATGCAGAGTTGTGTGACTTTGGACAAAATACTTAACCTCTCACAGCCTGTTTTCTCATCTGTAAAATGGGAATTATAGCACAACTTCAAAGTGTTGCAAGGAGTAAAAGTTTATGCATATGAAGCACTTGGCAAGGTTAGCATGCAAGGTTCAATTTAAGAAGTGTCACCAGCCCGGCCTGTGTGGCTCAGTGGATTGAGCATCATCCCATGGACTGAGAGGTCTCAGTTCTATTCCCGGTCAGGGTACCTGCACAGGTTGTGGGCTCGATCCCCAGTAGGGGGCGTACAAGAGGCAGCCGATGGATGTTTCTCTCTCACATGGATAGCTCTCTCCTTCCCTTCCTCTTTCTCTCAAAAAAAATCAATGGAAACATTTAAAAAAAAAAAGTGTCACCAGTCCCGGCCAACTGTCCAAAGGACCAGATCAGTGATTGCCAAGGTTCCTGACCTTGGAGGGTAAAGGATTAACAGCCTGGACCTTGCATCATGAGCGGTTTTCCCGCCCCACAGGCCCCTCACTGGGAAGGGTTCCAGCCAGCCCTTCCCCTCACCCCCACTGCAAGCGCCCGGGGCGGTGCAGGTCCAAGCGTCACCCCCTGGGCCTGGAGAGAGCTCGAAGCCTCCCCACAACTCCAAGACCGGCCCGGACTGGCATAGGTCGGAAAGTCCGGCCAAGGCACAAGCGCATGATTACGGCTCCCTCGGGCCCCTAGGACCGCCCGGTTCTCCCCACCCAAAATAACGAGGGCCTCTGGAGGCCGCCCCCAGCCCACCCGAGCGCAGCCCCAGGCGCCCCCAAAGTAACTCTCGCAGACGCCGAGTCACCCTGTGTGCGAGGGTGCCCGAGTCCCGGAGGGGTGCCCGGGGTTCTGCAGCCCCTTCCCCGACACCACCCCAGACCCGCGCCCGAGGGACAGAGGCTGGCGCACGGAGCCGGGCTCTTACTCTGCGGCCTGGGCGAGCGCTGCCCTGCCCTCTGGGGGGATCCTGCGGGTGACGAACACCTTCATGAGTCGCACTGGCCTCATCCAACTGGCCTCACCCGCTGCCGCAAGACACAGACACGGACCCGCCGGCCGGAAGCGGGACGCAGCGTGGGGCGGGGCCTCGGGATGGGCGGGCCCGAGGCGGGGTGTGGGCGGGGCGCAGCTTGGCCCCTAGCGGGGGTGTGGGTCTGTCAGTGCGCGGTCAGGCAGTGTCAGTGGGTCTTTGGGTAGGGGTCACTGTGAGGCACCGAGTGTGCGCCTGTGCAGTTGTGGTATGCGATCAAGCCTTACTGGAACTGGGACCGGTTCTGGGGTGATGCAGCCAGGCTGTCGCCTTGGCCCTTGGCCCCCAGGACCTTTCTATGAGCACCCCCTGCCTCAAGCTCCAGGACTGACAGGGGCGTCTTGGAGGCTAGAGAGGGTAAAGAGACCCTGAGTCCTGTGTGAGTGAGTGGGGATGCTTGTCAGGTGCCTACGGCTGTCAGTTTGTCTGTATTCCAGGAAGGGGATGCAGTCAGGGACCATCCCCGTTCCCAGGGTTCGAGTGCCCTCACCATCCTTGCTAGGTGTGTCCATCATAGTCACACTGTTCCAGGCAGGGGCCTTTGGTCACAGGGACTGAGCTCTGAGCCTGGCCTATTGTGTAAGCACAGGAGGTGGCCCAGGGCAGTCTGAATCCAGGAATGACCTCTAACATCTGGTGCAATTCCCTCCCCATATGAAGCCCACAGTTGTGAGGGGGATTTAATTGGTCATGGGCCACCCAGCTTGCTTGACACCTGCTGACTGGCAGGTCATGTATAGGGCAAGGGCCAAGGCGCTGGATGGGGCCTTGTGGGGTCATGGGCAGACCAGGAGTTTGCAGTCAGATGGAACTGGGTTTGAATCTTGGTCCATTTACAAGCTGTGTGGTCCTGGTCAGTTCACATCATCTTCACAAGCCTCAGTTTCTTCAGCTACAAAATGGGGTTATGAGCACTTGCCTTTGAGAGTTACTGTGATTTTTAAACAAACAACATTTGCATGGATCCAGGGCTCTGTTAGGTGTTCATCAAACACAGAGGCCGTGGTGTAGAGAGGTGAGGAGCTCAGGCTCTGGACCCAGATTGCCTGGGTTTAAATCCCAGCTCTGCCGTGTACCAATGACAAGTCTGTGTGGCTCCGTTTCCTCCTTTCTAAAATGGGTAGTGCCTGCCTGCATCAGGGCTCATTGAAAAGATGAACTATGTAAAGTGCTTACAACAGCATGTGACACACCTAGTGGGTACTTAACAACTAGTAACACATCCCAGGAAACTCACACGCTGATGCTCCAGGGCCAGGTATAGGTCAGCGACACAGGTGCTGAGGCCATCTCAGGACAAGTGAAAGGGCCCAGGGCTGTCCCTCAGCTCTGTTGCCTTTACCTCTGCCTGGGGTTGTTCATGTACTTGCTTCCAGGCCTGGGAGCACCCAGAGGGCAAAAGCCCTGCCTGGTGGTCTCTTCTCTGCTCATTTTGTCTGAATCTATTCTGCCCCTTCCAGACCCAGTGACAGGTGTAGATAGGAGGCATCTCCAGCTTATGGCCACACAGCAAGTCTCAGGAGAGGCCAGAGCTGTTGCCCAGGACACCTGGATCTCTTGCCAGTGCACCACGCTGCCGGCTCCCTCTCTTAAGTAACATTAATAAATATCTCACCCACAAACCATTATCTGCACTGCTAGGACACCTCAGGGACACTTTCTGAAATACTTCAAACACTGACACAATGAGGTGTTTTTCTGTCCCCAGGCCAGGCCCTCTAGGAGACAGCGTGGCCCTGTGACTCTAACCTCTGCTAATCAGGGCTGACACCTGAGTGCAGCTCCTCCCACACATGGGAAAGCTTGTCCACCAGGGGCAGAAGGGGGCATGATACATCAATGGGTCCCCTCCCCCAAGTCAAAGCAGCCAGCTGGAGCTCTGGGTACTACTGGGTGATGGGCTGGAGGTAGAACATGGAGCCAGCTGAGGGCCTGGAGGAGGGGTCAGGTGAAGCGTTGGGAGAGGAGGGACTCAATCTGGAGAGGTGCCAGAAGTCTGACATGGGTTTCACAAGGTAAAACTGATCATCTGATTAATACGTAGCTAAGACCTATGGAGCATTTAGCAAGTCCTAGGCACTGTCCTAAGAACCATGAACGATACTCACTATAGTTTAAGATCTCAACACCACATAAGGCACATACTATTACTTTTCCCACTTCACAGATGAGGAAGCCGAGGACAAGACAGTTGAAATTTTTTGCTTAATTAAAGTCACACAGCTAGTAAGAGGCAGAGCTTGGATTCAAGCCTGGCACCCCGACTTCAGACCCAAGCCCTTAACCACTGTGCAAGCCATTGGGAGTGGGAAGGGTGTCTTAGCCCATTCAGTTTGCTGTAATAAAACACCATAGACAGGGTGGCATAAACAACAGACACTTCTCACAGTTCTGGGAACTTGGAAGTCCCAAATCGACGTGCTGGCAGATTTGGTTCCATGTGACAACCCTCTTCCTGGCTTGCAGAGGGCCATCTTCACTCTGGGTCCCCACATGAGAAAAGGGGTGCGGGAGCTCTGGAGCCTCTTTCATAAGGGCACTAACTTCATTCATGAGGGGTACACCCTCGTGACCCAATTACCTCCCAAAGGCCCCTCCTAACTAATACATTAACACTCAGGGCTAGGATTTTAACATATGAATTTAAAAAAATTTTTTTTCTTTATTGATGTTAGAGAGAGAGGAAGGGAAAGGGAAAGACAAACATCCATGAGAGAGAACATCAACTGGCTGCCTCCTGCATGCCCACCACTGGGGATTTGGCCCACAACTGGGCATGTGCCCTGACCAAGAATTGAACCAGCGACCTCTGGGTACATGGGTCAACGCTCAACCACTGAGCCACAGTGGCCGGGCAACAAATGAATTTTTTAAGGTGGGATGAACACAAACATTCAATCCATAACAGAAGATGAAGGGGACAAGTGAGGGATGGCTTTTAGGCATTGGCCTGGGGGGCTCTTGGAGGTGGCTGTGGGGGATGTGCAGGTGTTGGGGGTAGGGAAGAAGGTGGCTGAGTTCAGCTCCACAGCAGTTGAATTCCAGATGCCTGGGGGATGCTCAGGTGGAGAAACCTTGGAGGGAGATGGTTCAAGGATCTGAAGGTCAGTGGAGGTGGGGCTGGAGCTGCTCTTCCAGTCATCAGCATGGAACTGGCAGCCTGGAAGACACCCGGGCGACTGGCTGAGGTCAGGGTCACAGCTCCTGCAGAGGGACTAAAATTTAGAGCATGCAAAAATTCAAAATGACAGTAAAAAAAGAAACTTTTGTGAGACTTTTATCATTTCACTTTTTTTTTTTTTTTTTCGGTATGTTCCCCTAGCGGGAACCAAATCTAGGACTCTCTGGTCCACCAGCTGATGCTCCAACCGCTGAGCCAAACCGGCCAGGGCTCACTTTTACTTTTAAATCTTGAATCCATTTGAAACATTGTGTGCATATGATTTGAAGTGGCGCTGTCTTTAACGTTTTTCCAAATGGTTAACTAGTTATTCAAGTACTATTTTTAAATGAGTGTTTTCTTTATTTTTGAAATATATAATAAATGCACGAGATACACAAGGGTAGAAGGTGAAAATTATTTCTCTCCTAACCCTATCTTCTGCTACTCAGGTCCTCTTCCAGAGGCAGTCACATTTTCCCAGAGGTGTTAATGTGTGTGTATATCTTAGAGATCATTCCACATCAGTACACATAGTGGTGCCTCTTTTCATTGATGCAGACAGTTTTACTGTGGGTGTGAACCAGAAGTAAGGAAGAGTCCCCTAGTAATGAACACTTACATTATTTCCACCTTTCATTTTATTTTTAATCCTCACCGGAGGATATTTTTCTATTTATCTTCAGATAGAGTGGGAGGGAGGGGCGGGGGGAGAGAGACATCGATGTGAGAGAGACACATCTACTGGCCGCCTCCCACACAACCCCGACCAGGGCCGGGGATGAACCGCAACCGAGGCACTTGTCCTTGACCGGAATCAAACCCGTGACTCATTGGTTGTCAGGCTGACGCTCTAACCGCTGAGCCACACTGGCCAAGGCTGTTTCCACCTTGTATAATTTAGTGCCTCGATGACGAGTCTTTGGCAGATGTCAATTTGCACATGTATAAATACATCTGTGAGATAAATTCCTAGAAGCAGAATTGCTGGGTCAAAAAATATGTGCACTATAAATTTCGATAGATATTGATAAATATGCTTTTCATGGAAATTATTCAATTTATACTCCTAACAGTAACATATGAAAATACTTATTTCTCCAGTGTATTATTTTTTTAATAGCATCTTCTTGTAATTTTTTTTTTTTTTTTATCCTCACCCGAGGACATTTTTCCATTTTTTTGTTCAGATAGAGCGGGAGGGAGAGAGAGGAAGAGAAACATCGATGTGAAGGGACACATCGAGTGGCTGCCACCCGCACGACCAACCAGGGCCGGGGACAAACTGCAACCAAGGTACATGCCCTTAGCGGGAACCGAACCCGGGTCTCTCTGTACCGCAGGCCGACACTCCAACCGCTGAGCCAAACCGGCCAGGGCTTGTAATTTTAATATAGTTTTTTTTAGCCAAGTTGAGCACTTTTTTATTCACTTAAAGGCTATTTCCTTTTCTATAAACTATGTCACCTATCAACTATAAACTGTGAAATCTTTTGCCTATTCGGATGAGCCAGGCATCTGTTTTAGTGATCAGTAGGAACTATTTATACAATAAGGACATTATCCCTTTATCTGTAATATAAGTTGCAAATATGGTCTTTGCCCTGCTTTGTTGTCTTATGATTTTGTTAATTATTTTTAATGCAGAAACATTTTATTCTTATGGCTTCTCGGTTTGCTCATATATAGTACATCAGTTATCTGTTACTGCATAAAGAATGACCCTAAAACGTGGTGGCTTGAAGAAACAATGACCATTTTATTATCATCTCATGGCTCTGGAGGTGGGCTGGGCTCAGCCAGGGGTTCTTTCAGGCTCCTTCATGCAGTGTAGTCAGAGGGTGGTTGGGCTGGAGTCAGG